TTTTATATATATAAAAATTGCTGAAAGAATCTTTTAATTTTAGGAAAAGAAACCATTTTTATTCCCTTGAATAAGTCATTTTTTCATAGGCATTATAATAAGAATAGAATGGTTTCAGTTAGCAAGGTTGCTTTCAGTTTGAAAGGCGTCTTGTTTTTAGCAAAAGTTTGTTATATATTTTACTGTAGTTGCTGTGGGTGCAAAGGAATAGAGAAGTCATGTTGAAGGCAAAGAGCATCTTGGCCTACTATATTCCTGATTTTCTGTTCTTACTAATTGCTGCTGCTTAAAACACATTTGGGGAGGTATGTATGTCTGAATTCTTGAATTCATTTGAACTTTTAAGGTACAGTGTAATCTGTACTGTCAAGACAGATGCTGCAGCTGATCAGTTGACTGTTAAACCACATTTGAAAATGGTAGTTTGGAGATTAATTTTTAAGCTGGTATTTAAATAGCTTATGGATATTAATGAATAGCAGGTACAAATCATATGCCTCGTATCACATGGGAGTGTATGTTACAGGACCAAGAATGTCTTGTTTGTCTAAAATTTTTTACAGGATTTACTGTTAAAAAGGTGTTCAGACATGCGTGTTACTGAGTGTATATTGTCGTCTTTGTAGTTGAGTATGTGGATTCATTAAATTGGTCTGATTCAATCTCACTTTAACCCAAGACTAGAAAAATCTAATATAGCTTTAAAACATCATTGTCTGGAAGAAGGAGCAGCCAACTAAAGCAGAGCCCAGGCCAGAAAGTCTGTAAAATGGGAACTCATAAAGGGCTTTTTACTTCTGTGATGTTGTACTGCAAAATACCAGATAATTGTGTCCAGCGTGTTGGTTACAGAAACTGGGACTGATTATATAAAATTTTTTATGGTCATGTTTGATTGTTAGAATTCATACCTAAAAATAGAGGTCAAGGAGATCTGCTACAAAATGAAGATTTGGTTGTCTTTAGCAGAAGACGTCACTTCTTGTCTCATTAGAACAGGTGCCTCTCTTTGCACCTGCTTTTCTTTCAGCTAGAGCATCCTAGTTAAAATTTTCGGCAAGGTTGGCTGTATCTGAGAAGCTATTCTGCTATCCAACAATGGCATTGAATGGAAGTTGCAATTTGTGAGAGTCACAAAGCTGTCAGTGTGTACTGCCGAGTATATAAATGGGGGAACCGCTGTTTTCAAGGAAATAGGAATAAAGCTATGCAGCTTGCATCCAATGAAACCGAACAAGGTCCCTGGATTCATTGTCAAAAGGGTATTTGTCATATCTAACTCGGACAGCACTGGTGTTTCTGGGCTGCTTACATGTTCTTTGAAGGAGACAGTCTCTTTCTTGTGGATCCATAGGCAGATGGCAATCCTAAATTGTATGCTTAAAAAAAAGGTTGTGTGAATATGTTTCAAAATGCAAAACCTGATCTTTGACTCTGTGAGTTCCTCTCTACCCTTTTCAAAGCTAAACAGACATCCCAGAATGAAAATGTACATATTGGTTCTCACTTGCTGAAAGTGAGATGGCTGTATTTAATTTTAACTGTTGCTGTCCAATTGAGCAATTACTTAGCTTAGTTATTCAGATATGGTTCAAGTATTGACTGAAAGGGATGTTTCGATAAAATTGTGTAATACCTAGACTAAGATTCAGAGTTTGAAGAGAAACTGCCCTTGAACAACTGAAGTTAGTTAGTTCCTTGTATTCTTGGATAGCTTCTTATATAGTGTTTCTGAGTTCAAGCTCTGACTTTCATGTGTAAAGTGCAGGGTTATGTGTCTGAGAATAATTTCTCATAATTTGTTTTATTACATGTAAAGTTTAGAGAACTTTTTACTCTCTGGTTTTGCAGGATGGCTCTGTGGTAGGAGCCGAAACCTCTGAAATTAGCTACAAAATGAAAGTCAAATGATAAAAGGAAATAGAACAAATACAGTTCTCGTGCAGCACAGCAACTTAATGGAATGCAAGGTTAATTTTGAGCTTAATTTCTGATTTTTTTTTAATTATTATTTCAGGGTCAGATAACACTAATGGATGTTCCTGTGTTTAAAGCAATTCAGCCAGAGGTAAGTAGTTCATTGGTTTTGTTTTCAAATTTAAATGAAAAAAAGTTATGCCAGTGTATAAATTCTGGAACTGCGAAGTGTAAGTATGTCAATATATCTTAATTTTTGTCCCAGTTCATATAGCTCTGAAGCAGATGGCTTTATAACACACAAGTTTCTAGAACTAGTAGTTTGTTTGAGGAATGAAGTATTGATATTTAATTATGTTCAGCTAGTGCTAGAGATGAAGTATCTGAGTTTTAATGTTTCTGAATGATAAACATCTTGATTTGACTATTCTGATCATAATGTTTTAGGTTTCAGCTCCTGATACCTCATGCCATACCTCATCCTGTCCTGTGTTTCCCTAACTGGTTCATATATTTTTTTTTTTGGAAAAAGAAAAATGGCTGTAGCGGCATCTTGTATTCAAGATGGGTGTGATCCGTGCATATATTGGGATAATATATCGATGATTTGTGTTCTCTGTTTTGTTTTTATATAATGTCATATTCCTTTCTGGTTGCAGCCTGAATTGAACTGACGTTTTCGGGATTTTCACAGTGACTATAGTAAATAATGAATTTGTTTATCCTTATTTTTCTGATTAGCATTTTCCTGTAGGCATTGTTTTACACTTTTGAAGGTTTATTTTTCAGTTTATTGTCCACTTTATCAGTAGTGTTAAAGTCTTTTTCAGCTCATCAGTCACCTTTAGACTACTGTAGGCATTGTTTTACACTTTTGAAGGTTTATTTTTCAGTTTATTGTCCACTTTATCAGTAGTGTTAAGGTGACTGATGAGCTGAAAAAGACTTTTAGACTATTATAAGCTATTTTATTGGTAGCAGGCTTTTGTCATGTCACTCCTGTGGCATGCTGAAAAATGTTTTGCATCAAGTGGAGAAACCTGCTCAATCTCTTGGTTGTGGTTATTGATTTCATCACTTGTGCACCCACAGGTTTTTTGAAGGCTTCCTTTTGATCTGTACTTGAAAACATTGTCATGATTTGGCTTTCATGATTTCAGCAATCCCAACCCATCTGGACTTGTGTGGGGTTTTTGGTTGGTGTTTTTTTGCGTGGGGTTTTTGGTTGGGTGAGGTTTTTTTAAAAATTTTTGATAAAGATTCCCATTTGATCTCTCTGGCTTATTTTTTTCTGGGCATCCTTGGAGTCTTTTGACTAGAAGAATATGTTTATCCTGGTCTCCTAATAGGATCTTTTTTTTTTTTTTAAAGCTCTTTTCCAAAACTTTGAAGTATTTCACCCTTTTATCTGATTATTTTAAATATTTTCCTTATATGTGTGTGTTTGTACTTCTTTTTCTAATGTTAAGCATTACTGCTATGTAGGGTTCCTTCTGCCCTGAGTGTTGAAGTTGAATAAGCTCTGGGTGCTTTTATGCAGTGCCTCATCTCTTGTGACACTGAGCTTCAAAGGACTGGATATCGAAAAAATCAAACCACCAATTTAGCTAGTTAGGACTTTTCCTACTGATGTGCTGATAAAGAAATTCCACTGCTTGAGCTTGATGTGATAGTTTATTCTTTGCAGTCTGCTTCCAGCACTGCACAGGATGAGCAGTCAGCTGTGTAACAACCACAAGGAAGCAAGCAAATCAGATATAGTGGCAGTGATCCAATACTCCATACCTCATGATTGGTTGCTCTTTTAATGCTACCTCCTGTATCTTAGATTATGTTGTGTGAGCAGACCTGCGGAAAGTCTCTGGGAGATGAGAAGACATGTGAAGAAAGTACATTTAATTTTGTTGGCTGGTCTAACACATTATTGTAAACCATAAATGGAAAAGCAGAACGAAATAATGAAACTTATCTAAAAGGAAAACTGTGAGAAAGTAGGTGAATATATCTAGAAAGTAATTCCTTTTAAGAAATCTGTGTGTACTGCATAAGAAAAAAATGTGATGCCTTCACTGAAAGGTGTGCATAGGAGGAAGGGTAGCTGTTTTGACGCTTCTCAAGTGTTTGCACAAAAGCAATTGCAGGCACTGACAGTGTGCAAGTGTTACCTGTCCATCAGTGCTTCTTCGCAGGTAGACGGAGGTCTGTCATCTTGTATCTGATGTGCCTCTAAATGGTGTTAAACCCCCACGGAAAAGGAGCGTACAGATTAAGTCTCAGGGCAGAAGAAGCTAGACACAATTAAAATGCTTTCCTCCTGTTTTGCAGATGGGGAAAACAGACGTGGAATATTTAATTTGCCTGAAAGTGTCTTTACAGCAGAGTAATGAAGTGTTGTAGGTTCGAGTTTATTTGAAGTATCTACCAGACTCTGTGTGCCATATCCATATGTTGAATCAAGTTGTGAATCTTTATAGATACCTTGACATGTGCACTCAAACATTGTTGAATTTATAATTCGAAAACAAAACATTATGATAATTTCACCTGTATAAAAGGGCTTCTGAACTGAGGCTTTAATGAGTGACTAAAAGGCATTGATAGAATTTGGTTTTTATATCAGTGCTCTATTTAGAATTATATTTCACATCCCTCACCCAGATGCATCGTGGGACTTGAACAACAACGTCTTTCCCAGTGTGCCAAGATTTGAAAACTGTGTGTTTATTATAGATTGTTGTAACTCACCAACAAATCTTTGTTGTACAGGCTGTGAATCTTGGTCTGCTTCCCCAACTCTGTAGAAACGTATATAAATCAATCTTTTTAGCCTCCAATGTGTTTTCATTTGTTTCCCTAAATAAGGGTTCTGAGAGATGTATTCCAAGACACTTAATTTTTAAAGTAACTGGAGATGAACTTTCACCATTTTAGTAAGTGTGTGAGCAATATTCTTTAAATGTCATAGTTTTTCTTGACTATCTAAATTATTGTGTTGCATTGTCTTCATTATGTTAAAATCTTTTCTTAAAGTATTATAGGTTTGCCTTTTTTATAAAGCAACATAAGATAACCAAGATGAAATTCTGAACAAAAACTAGAGTCGAATGACACTTTTTTTTTACAGCAATATATAGTAATTCTTCTTCTGGCATCAAAATCAATGAACATACTCATAGCACATGCTTGTATATTTCAACAGCCTTTTGCCTCTATCTGTAGCAAATAAATATAATTCTTTCTGCCTACATTCAAATTTTCTGCAGCTATTGTGGATTCATGTGTGTGCTAGAGTTCCTACACATCACCCACTACAACTTCCTGTTTCATACTCTTAGGAAAAACCGAACAGGGAGCTTAGTGTAGCCCACGTAACTCAGCGTTAAGGTACGGTGGATCACTTACATTTGGGGTGAGTCAGAAGCATGGACTTGAACAGTTCCCATGGCTTAGTGTATAGTGACATGATCCTCTGCCTGAGCTTTAAGCAGACTGTATCATTGCAAGTGATACTGGAAAGCACCTTTCTTCATCATTAAAAATGCCTACAAGTTACTTCTGAGAAATGAAAGTAGAAGGAATTACTGTTTCTTTGTTTATTAATAACTAGTGGGCTGCGGTACAGAAATGAAGATAACAATACACCTCTGCTACATGAACTTCTGTCTGTATGAAAGCAACTGATATGCATTTTCATTTTTGGGAAACAAAAAAAGATGGAGTTCCCCAAGTCAATCCTGATTTCTGTCTATTCCCCATGAATGACAAGTGGTGTGTTGTTTGTTGTTTTCCTTTTCTCGCAGTGGTTGTGGCTTTCTAGAGAGCAGTGATTATAAAGCAAAAAACTAGGCATAGACTTTCTCAGTTGTGCCGCTGGTAGCTGCGTTAACATTAACTAAATGCCAGATGTCCCCTTGCAGAACACATTAGCTTGCTTTTATTGGAAAATCTGATTACTTATTTTACATATTTTAACTCATTCTCCAAAATTATTTATCCATACGTACTCACGTTGAAAATCTTCAATGGGTAATTGCCTTTAACTTCTTTGTCCCCTCCGCTTCGCTAGGCTAGGCAGTAAAAAAAATAATTTGCTTATTGAATATTCATCTCTACTTGTTCTGAAGTTGTCTAATGGTTCCACTATTAATCCTTGCTTTTTCTCTCCTCCTATTTTTGAAACTTTCACTTTGACCCATATGTAAAGACTTTAATGAGAAGCACAGTCTCTCCTTCTGCTGTGTAGTACAGGTAATAACTTAAGTATTCCTGTAGTATTTTTTTAAGGAAAATAAAATTCTATAGATTCAAAAAGGAATGAAAACCCAAATGAGTTATGAAGAAAGTGTAGCGTTTGTATTCTTGATCCTGAATCTTTCAATCTTGCACATGATTTTAAATAAATTTCACAAAATAAGAAATTGGTAGTTGTAGTAATGTAGCTCCTGTGCTAGAGTTGACTGGCAGACTAAGGAAATAATCCCTGTGGATACTATGGGTTTGAAACTCATGGTGGAAAAAGTGCAATTCTAGAGGAAGAGCAAAGAAACATGCCTGAATTAAAGTAATGGAATGGGCAATACAGTCTATTTAATTAGCGAAGAAATAAGTATTTTTATAGAAGTATAAGAATGGTTTCTGAATTCCAATTCAGCAAATTTGTGTGCTTTATTGCAATAGTGTGTGCAGAGTCAGGTCCATGCTCCTTAGGACTGTATCATACTTCTCCCAGACCAAATGCAGTGAGGGCAAAAACCTTGGTGGCTTCTCTTCTGTTGGTGGCATCTTAGGGCAGAGGGAAGAGCAGTGTCAAGGGCAATGATTTTAGGCAAGTGGGTTCTAGAGGTGGGGAAAAGGATTGTGAACAACAGTTTCCCCTGAAGCAGAGTGATCAGGTAATAACACTGAGAAACTGTGGATAGGCAGCAGAGGGAAACTACTTTCTTTTCTCTTGACTAGAAACTAAAATGGAAGCTGATTGTACAGGGGGGAGAGAGGTTTTGCAGGCAAGGTGGAGAAGCTGTGTGCAGGAGGTAGAAGAAAAGGTTCAAGTTAAAGTAACAAGATACACATATGTATTTGTTTTGTGCACCTTCTTTATATTTCTTACACTAACTAAAGGGAGGGGAAAAAAGGGTTTTTGAACTCTCAGAAGTCTGTCCCTAAACAGCGGTGTAGATGTTGACTTAAGCTCTTGGAGACCCTAACTGATAGCACAGATCCTGAGGGCCTGTGTAGCTGTGCCTCAGCACCTCTGTGAAAGGCTTCTGATGCGTATCTTTCCAGTGAGGAGCAGGACCTTTTGCTTTGCAGTATCCAGTGCTACGTGCTTTCACTCAAGAACATGGATAGAGTTAAAGGATTCTCAGATTTGTTGCCCCTAACATTTATTGGGGCTGTTTTGTCTGTTACTTCTGCTTCTGTGCTCTGAGCATGTATAGGAGAAGCTATGCCTTTGGCCCTGCCTTTTTCATTGGGACCCTGTATACTCCAGAACCACCTCAGTCCCATACCTGTCTTCTCTCTGCTGCACCCATGTATCTTTAAATTATCTTAACCCTAAATCTGTCACTCTGCAGTCAGTTTTTCTATTCTGTCTCCAGTTGACAACAACTAGTACCTCCCGTAGTCTTAGCTCATCATCTCTTCTCCCCTCAAATCGAGGAATCCAAATCTGCCTGTAAGTTTCCCATCTCACTGTATACCTCAACCCTGGGCCTTTGTCCAATTGTACACTTCACAAATGACTATTTCAGGTTGTGACCTTACTACAGTGTTGAAAGGTTTTGGGGGAGGAAGAGAAAGGAGGGTTAGTAAAAGAGTGTTGAAGCACGTGCTCCATGCAGGTGGAGCTGGGAGCTGCTGTGCCTTTGAAGGGTTCATGTAGACCAGTAGCATTTGTAATGCTGTTAAAGGGTCACTGAGTTGGAGCAAAATGTGGTGACCTCATAATAGCCTTTGAGTGCAAGATCACAGAATGTTGCCTTTGTACAACATTTCATCTGTTAGCTTTAATGGTGGGGGGGGAATGCTGAAAACCTGCAGTAATGTTGAAGAATATTTTTTTGTTTGTTTGGTTTTTTTAACTTGGAAAGCTTCTAATTTCAGTCAGCCCTGTTGGGTTATTCTGTATTCTTGACTAAGCTAGAATTTCAGACTTACGTGATACAGTCACATAATGTACTCATGCATATGTACACATAAAGTACAATAAAGTCTTTACCTCTTTGTGAGACTGCATGAAAACACATGTCATTCCAAGGTAAAGACGACAGTGTACAACTTCGTGTACAACTTGTGTACAACCTTCTAGCCAGCCTTAGGCCCAGGAATACAGAAATGGTCTTAGTCAGGAGAATCTGCTAGGAATGTGTTTCAGGAGCTATTTCTGCTGCCTCATTGTTTAGATTTCCATGTTCTTTACCAAAACACTTCTCTGCCGTATCTTTCCATTCGGATAGGGAACATCGCAACAAGATTTTTCTGGAGCAGAGGCTTTGGTTGTCCTAGTCTTTTGTCAAAATGGGGAGACTGCTTCTTTGAATTAATAATGATAAATATATGTATATACATAAATGGTTCACAGTCAGAGAGTCAGATCTTGCATCTGTTCCCAACAGATATTAGACCTCTAATTTTGAGTATCTAAATATAAATCTGACCTTAACATTCATACTGTTACTTGCATACTGTCTAAAGATTCTTGGTAATGTTTTCTACTTAAAAATTACCATTTCTGTTGCTAATCACATCAGTGCACAAACCCCAGTGCTAGCTAAGCCAGGTCTGCCTCTGCTGTCTGTACCATGTAAGCCCTTACATGTACAGTGCCAGGGCAACGGGTAACTTCTGCCCGGAATCATCCTTGTTTTTTCACTCGGTGATGAGAATTGAAATAGTACAAGGACATGCCCTAAATTATTAAGAAATTACAGTGCTTTCTCAAAACCTGCGATGGCAACTATTTTTTTTCTGCTGTTAAGGAAGCGTAATCATCAGATGCCAGTAAGGATGAATCACCTCGTATTCTCCAAAGTGCAGAGCTGTGATTGTTATTGCCCTGGAGGGACAGAGAATGCGAACAAGAGTCTCTTGGACGGCTTCCTTCTCCAATAGCCCACTCTCCTTTGCAACAGGAGCAACTCAGGGCTGTGTGGTTGTCTCGTGCGTAGTCATTGAAGTGCAGATATAAGGGGATGGTCATGTGTGTTCCTATACTGAACATGCCAGCATTTTCCAGGATAGGTTTTGGTGGCAGAACTTCCTAGTGAAGTTTAAAGGAATGACCCTAAATACAAAGCTGGAGACTCTGCATTCTTCCCAGTGCCTGTGGGCAGGAGCATCTCAGAGTCTTCTCTAGCAAATAGCAGTATGCCACAAACTTCAAGTGGAAGAATTCAAGGTGTCTCTAACTGGCATGAGACTCTTCTGTAGTTTTGGGATGTTGGTTGAAAAGATGTTAAGAAGTTCCTGATTAAAACCCCTCCCCCCAAAACAACCCCCCAAAACTCCACAGCTTAAAACATCCAGATACCGAATTCTTTTAAACTGATTGTCTTAAGTGGCACAATTATTGGTTATACATCAAGTCCTCTTACCTATGTTATATGGTAGCTGTATGTATAGTGTGATATTGATTTCAGTAAGTAGTTGTCAATGTGATGGTAAAACTGAGAGCGCTTCAGAGTGGAAGATGAGGAAAGAAAGCATGAATAAATAAAAATGAAAGGCTGTACTTTGCTATTATGCCACTTTAATAATTAAGCTGTCTCTGTATTGATTATTTTTCTTGGTAGCACTGTGGAACAGGTTGTGTGTTGTATGCTGTATATATTTGCATCTGTTCTGTATGCTGTTGTATATAAATAGAAGAGCTCATTTTGGTACATTTACGTTTTTATGATTTTAATTGAAATTAATTGGTAGTAAATTACAAGGATGATGATGTAGAACTACTAAGTTTTACAGACAGGTAAGAGGCATTGTAAGTTTGTAGTTATGAAGTAATGCTTTCTAAGGCTTTGCAGGTAATTTGTTACTGTTGGGGCCTACAGATTTTAGGGTGACATGCACAGGAACTGCATGTTTGTTTTTTTTAATCTTTTAAGTAGGTCCCCTTGCTCCCTTTTATTTTGCAAAACTACTTGGTTAAGTGCTGAGTGTTGTTCAACTTAAAATAAAATTGGTTCCTTTGGAGGGGAAAACTGGTAATAGTGTTTCTTTTATTGTTACTGCAAAAGATGACGATTTTGGTATTTCTTTAATGCAACATGCTAAATGAAAATAATGGGACATGTCTAGATTAAGTTAATGAGGTGTTATCTTCGCAGTACACTTTAACTATCTTCAGAAAACAATTAAAAATAAATGAACATGCTGCTCTGCCTAGCTCAGATTTAAATTTAAAGCAGGATTTTCTGTGGTAACAAAATGAATCTTGAATTATTTCATTAGTTTCTAATAAGAGCTGAATTATTTAAAAAAAAAAAAAAAAGCCCCTAATTCAAACTTTTAAGATTTGTCTCTATATGGTCTTGGCTCTGAACATTAGTTATGCACTGATTTAAATATGAATTTTCATGCTTTTTCTCCCAGGAGCTGGCAAGCTGTGGCTGGAATAAAAAAGAGAAATACAGTTCTGCACCAAATGCTGTTGCTTTCACCAGAAGATTCAATCACGTGAGTTATTTTTTTCCAGTGTCATTACATGTACACGTTTAAAAAATCTGGGGAATTAAGTGTTCTGGCACATCACTTTTATTACTGATCACAGCTGATTGCTTGAAAACTTAAAGTATCTGCTATAAGAAGTTCCATATCTTCAGCATATATAGAGAAAGACCAAAACAGTACTGAAGAAATAGCTGTGTTTGTTTTAAATAGAAGTTATTGATGAAACAGGACAATATTAAGCAGGGTTTTTTTCCCCATAAACACTGGCTGTCCTTTATGTAAAGTCAGAATCATAATTACAGGTTAAAAGCTTACCATAGAGGATTTCTGGACTAGTAATTAGATGTAATTTCTTTGTATTGGTTGCATCTTTTGCTCCACATGAATATTTTTATCTCTAGAAATATGCGCCTTTTGTCAGTGTGGCTACCTTTTTAAGGTGATCCTGGGCAAACTTTAAAAATTCCAAACAATTTTACTATACAAAACTTGTTCTTTATCTCTGTTTAGCATTATTTTTCAGGTAGTGTATTTGAGATTTATGACTTTCTTAAAAATTTCTCAGTGTAAAATCACCTCTTATTTTAAGAGTACAATTTTAGCTTTCTTCACAGTTAAAGCTGTAGGACTCCAGCTATGTAGTTAGCCAGCCAAGTCTCAAAAGATGCTCAGAAGGCTGGAGCACCTCCCCTATGGAGACAGGCTGAGAGAGGTGGGGTTGTTCAGCCTGGGGAAGAGAAGGCTCCAGGGAGACCTTAGAGCACCTTCCAGTCCCTGAAGGGGCTCCAGGAAAGCTGGAGAGGGACTGGTGACAAGGGCAGGGAGTGACAGGACAAGGGGGGATGGCTTTAAACTAAAAGCGGGTAGATTTAGCTTAGAAACAAGGAGGAAATTCTTCCATGTGAGGGTGGTGAGGCCCTGGCACAGGTTGCCCAGAGAAGCCGTGGCTGGCCCTGGCTCCCTGGCAGTGTTCAAGGCCAGGCTGGATGGGGCTTTGGGCAACCTGGGCTAGTGGAGGGTGTCCCTGCCCATGGCAGGGGGTTGGAACTAGATGATCTTTAGGGTCCCTTCCAACCCAAACCATTCTATGATTCTATGAAAACTGTAATGCTTTTTTTCATGTAATGCCTTCTTTTGTATTTCAGATGAAGTAATTCTATTACCCTCATGTCTCCTCTTGTAAATGTTTAATAATGTCTCAAACTTACAAGCTCTGTTCCAGACTTATCTTCTGTACCCAGTCTCAGATCTACAGACATCTTTGTTAATCATCTAAAACTCAGACCAAACCTCTAACCTTTTCCCTCTTTTTTCTTTTTTTTTTTTTTTTTAATGTGTGGTACTTTCTCACTTTTCATTATTGCTCACATTCAGGATATGACCAAATTCTGTTACTTCTCAATAACATTTAAACTATTTCTTAACCTTCTGATGACTGAAATGCTTGTCTGGGCATGGATTTTGGACACTTGCTAGATTCTCCTCTTGACTGAAGAGAAAATGTTACACTGGAGACTTCTTGTGACCACACCGTCTATTGAAATCTGAGGGGTTTGGGTTGGGGTTTGGGGTTTTTTTTGTAGGGTTTTTTGGTTTTTGTGGTTGCATTTAGTTGAAATTCTCCTGATCTAGCTTTTGAAGTTGCCTCTTTAATGGACTATATATCCAGCCTGAAGCTACTTTTACAATAATCTCACTCATATGCCAGTGATTCCAGTATTTGCTGTCGTGCTTATTCGTGTAAGTTATCTCTTCAAAGAAACATTTTTTTTTTGCTAATATTCTGAAATATTTGGTGGCTGAGGGACATACTAGATGCAAGAAGCTCTTCCAAGAAGCTTCCGTCAGCCTTTATTCTGGCACCAAGGGAAGTCATCAGCCTTACCTTCGTGTAGTGGGACTGGGGAAGGGACAAGTATTGTTTCAGTCACTGGTTCTTATTATTCACGTTAGTACCTCAACTTTTGACTAACTGAGCCAGTAATTTGGCTAACTTTTGATGTGGTGTGGGCCTATGGTTCCAAATGTGTCATTGCAGAGCAGTTACTTATTCCGGTAGTAATGTCATATCTGGAGTCCCATACTTTCAGGAGCATGGAAACCCAAAAATTCGTATGGGATAGGCAGTGGCAGCTGGGAATAAGAAGACATAGTGGAGTAAGCGATTTTCATCTTCCTTGCCTGGTTTGCCTTCTCGGCGTTCAGTTCTATTCCAGGTGCTTGCTCAGCAGAGCTTAGATCCTGTTGGGCACTTGCCCCACTTACCTGGGGGTTTCTAATGCTTAGACCTAAAACAAGTGATTAGGAAAATCATTGCTACTTTTGACTTTATCAGGAGTGAATACATTTTATCAAACTTCTGCTAACCTTTGAAATTTCGTTGAGCTTAAATTATGCATTATGCATCTGCTTCTTTCCTTTTTTCCACAACTTGCCAAAAGAAAACCATGAACAGCTCTCACTTTGTAAGTAAAGAGAATATTAAATCACTAACAGCTGCTTCACAGCAAATTGATCTGCTGATACAGTTTTGGAAACAGTAATGATTATGTGCAGTTGATTGCAGTCCAGTGAGAATGAAGTAGTGTATTTCTAGCATTAGTTATGTGATAATTATATGTGTGACTGTAAAAACAGATCAAGTTCAGGGAAGAGAAATCAATTGAATTATTCCATGCCAGGACTCTCTTATTTTTGAAGAATAAATTGCTACGTGGTATTCCATAGATCTACACATCTACTATTAAGTATTGGTTTTAAATATGTAAATTCTTTACATATTTTTTAAAAAAACTCTGATCCCTTCTTTTTTCAGCTTTCTTCTGAAAGTTAGTTGTGTACTTGCATACTACTGTTGGAACTGGTAAATTTGTCAGGGTGCAAAATGATCACATTTGCCTACTTACTAAACCATTGTTCTCTACTTCTTGAAAATGTTTCATGCTTTGTGTAAAGGTAACTGTTGCTCTGCTGGTTGTACAAGATTATCTGTATTAAAAACCTCTTTCCTGAGGTTTTTATTTAAATGGGAGTGGAACTGTGCTGCCATGGAGTTTAAAATCTTAGAGGAGCTTATCAACTGGATTCAATACATCAGAACAATTTTAAAGCAAAAGATCCCACTTGAAAAGCAGATTTCATGTTTTACTAACCATGTGAAACTGTTTGTGGTGGGTTTTTTTTAAACCAAATGCAAACATTATATAGGAGAATAAGTTTGTCTTGAATATTGTAGGGTTGCTGAGCTGCAGTGAAGTGATAGTGAAATTTTACTAGGGTTATCAGAAATTAAAAAAACTGGGTGGGGAAGAGGTTAGTGTGCTTCCTTTGGAAATGAAACAAAAAAAGATGGGGATTCTACCTTAGCTGTAATGATGCAAGGTCAGTACTGTGTGATTTACAGTACACACTTTTTGTGTAGCATATCAGAATATTTTTAACGGGTATTTGGAAGAATGATCCAGACTCTATTAGAGAGTCTCGAATTTGCCTAGCTACTAACTAGCACAGAAAGCACAATTAGTTTTGGAACCAACAACTATGAACTTAAAAGGACCAGCATAACAAAATTAGTATTTCAGATAAAACAAATATAGGATAATTTTAAAAGCTTAAGCTGTGATTGGAGAAAAGATATGTTCAAAAGTTAAGCATGTTTTTCTAGGTTGACCTTAACAAGGAAGAATATAAATACACAAATATATGTCAATGATTAAATGTTGTCTTGAGCTGATATCAAAGGCATTGATGCCCAAAGGCTATGGGTCATCTAACTGACTGATATTGGTGGGACAGTGTGAGAAATAATCGCATTTAAATGCAGTGAGAGAGGACTTGAAGCAAAATAACCACAAAATATGTATGGAACAAATACATGTGACTTATGTGAAGAATGAACCTGGATAAAATTAAAAAGTGGCCTATTGACACAAAAGGGTTGAATTGTTTATTTTACGATATTTGGAATACATTAGATTGTGGTGCTGTCTAAGGATACCAGTGAATAGACAAGCCAAGCCAAAGACCGATGTCAGTAAAAACACATCAGAGAGGAGTGGAGGTGGTTGGAGTGGAAATCATTAAGTGTGTTTAATTCTCTCTTCTGCTTACTCTGTCGCTGAAGGGACTGGATGACTCTAAGCTTTGAAGAAAGTTTTTTGCATTTTGTTCTGGTTTGTTTTTCCTGCAAGACCTTGGAAGTATCGAGACTTGGTCTGGCTGGGACCGGCACGGAAACCAGGCTTCCTTGAGTAAACACGAGAACTTGTGCAGCACAGTGCTTATGTCACTGAGATACTAATGAACTTTCATAGAATTCAGGACCAACCTGGTAGATTGTTTGTTTTTTCATCCTTACAAAAATGAGCATTGCTCTGTATTTTGGACAAGTGTTTCATAGTTGGCCTACTGCAAGCAATCTCCTATTGGATTGACGCTCTGTTAACTTGAGGCTGAGGAGATTTAGGATTTTAAGACTTAGCAATACATGTGATGTCTCTACCTGATTGTTTATGATACGAACATCTATGTTAAAAATTTAAATTCCCTTGATCTTCAGAAGGAAGGCTCCTTTTCTCCTTAGAAACTCGTTCATCAGTCAAGGGTAAAGTTGGTTTTCTCAAGCTGTGTAACTGCAGCAGAACATCAAACTGAGGTTTAACTTTTTTCACAATATTTTGAAGTACTCTCAAATACTTTAGTATTTATGTATTCAATACTTATTTATTTTATAGTAATGCTGTTTACACAGAAACATTTTTTTATATTTGTCAGGGTAACACATTTTATCTGGAGATACTTTGCTATTAAAAAAAAAAAAGGAAAAGAAAAAGAAAAAAGAAAGGAAAAAGAAAACTGAGCTCCATGGCTAATTCTTTCCTGGCTAATACAGCCTTAGACAAACAGACCAAAGGAAGGCAGTTGTCGTGCAAGATGTTTGTGGGGGTTATTTTGTGGGGTTTTTGTAATTCTTGTATTTTCTGGTTCCAAAGAGCTGTTGTGTTTTGACATCCCAGTTCTCATCAGATCACTGTAACTTCACTGAAAACGTAATCGTTTTGGAGATGCAGATCTTCTTGTGCTATTCTGCAAAAATAGCTGTCATGCTATACAAAGTGAAACAGGTTAAACAGGGTATTTAAATATTTTAATTGAAATTTTGGGCAGGAACCTGAATACATACACAATGTTAGTTTACAAGAAGTAGTTTAGCATCACTCTTAAAAAATCAAAGCAGCATGACAGGTTGAAAGATGTTTACATATGACAGCATGCATTTTTTCATACGCTGTTTTCAGTAGTTATGTAAACAGCAGTCATGCTGTATCTTGCTAATCATTTTTTTCCTACCTTGTAGTGAATACATGAATAAAAGCTACAGTATTTGTTACCATTTGCTAATTCTTTGCTACTGTTTTATTACAATCATGAAGTTTTTTGTTTTCCGTCATTCTTCTTTGTACTAAAGTGTATTAGGGCAGAGGGGATGGGAGGAGCAGAGGAGAGAAAAGATTAGAATTTAGACATGTTAACAAAACACTTTCAAAGTACAGCTTTTGCAAGGCATTCATGTAACTACGAAACATGGCAATTGTCCTTTGTACCATATGGAATATAACAGTGATTTTTATACAACAGTGAAGTTCTATAAAACTTAACAAATTAGTATGGTAGTTGCTGTATATTAGCAGGTAATTGTCGTAGCCAGCAATAAGAGCACAAACTATAAACTAGGTTATAGCAGAGGCTTCCTACCTTATGTTCCAATTCTGTTCAGGTGATACTGATGTGATTATTATTGTTATTCGGAGATGTAGAGAATTTGGAAATGTCAGTGAACTGTAGTTGAAGCTGTTCAACTCATCTGAGAATTGGATAGTGCAGCTTTGAAGCTGTGGAAAAGTAAAACCAAAGGATATAACTCAATTTTAGTTTTTATATTCCTTCATTTTGTAGACTTTCTTAATAAAATCTCGTTGTGATTTTATTTTCTTGGGGGAACCTCAGCTTAGCCTGAAAACGAGTCTGTTTGCATAGATTGTACATAACTGATTCTGCTGGGGTTTTTTGAGATGGCTGGCAGCAGAAAGATTTATCTCATTGGAAAAACAGATCCCAATGTCTTTGTACGCAACTAACTGATGTGACAGATTTTACAAAGACAAGTTCTACCCGCCCACGTGCTTGGTGAGAAAAGCAGGCACCAGAATGTGTGCTCTCCAACAAAATAATGGAGTGTGAGGCTACCAGTTAGGAAATGGGGAAAGTGAAGAGATTAACAAGATAAAAGATTCAGTTCTAAATATGAATTGGATTTATTAATGTGGTTTCAGCAACTGCTTGACCATGTAATGGTAGAAGGTATTTTGGGCAAGAGTGAGCAGAATAACAGAGCAAAAGACTTTGAAGAAAGTTTTTTATTAGTACCTGGGTTATGTTCATTGGGATTTTATAGTATGCATTTGCATCTTCTAGTATGTATTCAACTTTATAGATGGAAGTTGAGTGCTGTGAGACTTTTAATGTATTACTCATGAAATAAAAATATTAAAAGTGTAATGTTGAAGCTCTATTTTAAAAAGGCAAATTTTCTTCTTTTTAGGTAAGCTTCTGGGTTGTTAGAGAGATTCTACATGCGCAAACTTTAAAAATAAGAGCTGAGGTTTTGAGCCACTATATTAAAACTGCGAAGGTAAGAATTTGGATTGGGGGGGCGTGTGGGATTCACTGTGATGATTCACAAAGTTGTTATACTTAAGTTGGTCAGAAATACACATGGGTAAATATTTATGTGAAACCTGATTTAGCTGTGGTTGTATCTGTTGACATGAATAGCTGTTTGGCTTCTGCATGTAACAAAGTTGTCAGAAATAGCAAGAGACCAAAATCCTGAAATGGAAGCCTTTGTTTACAGAAAAAAAAGCTTAACTGAGGAAATGCAGAGATACTTTGTTTCAAATACTGTTTATTAGATAATATAATTTACTAGATGTGTTTTCTAATGTTGGTTAAACCAAAATGCTGTATGTAGAATCAGTTCAAACAGCATCAGTCAGAACAGAAATAGTTTGTTTGCCTTTTCTATTGGAAGGAAAGGATCTGTTATCTGTTGTTTCAATTGTGGCATGAATAACATCATCTTAAATATTGTTTCAAATATATATATGTGTGTGTGGCTGCTAATGTGGCGTCACTGCTGTTAGAAGGATTTTCTGTTTGCACCAAAGCTATTATCAAAGCAGCTTGGTGCCAGAGGTCACACTAATTAACTTTTCTTCAGAGAAGCTGTAAATCCGATGTACAGTGAATTCTTTGTGCAGACAACTATCTAGCTATTGTATAGCTAGCCATCTTTTAATGATACCTCATACTATATTGCTTTATGCATGAACTAATTGGACTTAATAGTTGCATTCCCCTGAAGTTCCCAGACTATCCTGTTTGGTTATGACTTCTGTTTCAATGCTAGCAGCAGCTAGGAAAGTCCTTTTTTTTTTTTTTTTTTAGTTTTTAGTTTTAATCAGCTACATTGTCCTTTGGGACAGTGAACTTTATTGCCTTGTTTGGGGATGCATTTGTGTGTGTGTGGAAAAAAAGAGTTATTGTATAAGTGGAGGGACAAACACCGGCAGTACTGTTTGGAAGAATAGTAGGATTGTGGTGTATGACAAATATCCACCCCACCGCACCCCACAAAATGTTGATTGCCCTTTATACATGGTTACTAAAGAATCCTCCCAAAAGGGGATTAGGAGAGGAGAATGCTTCTTTGGTAGGTGTGGAAGGACTCCGGTTCAGTAGTAGACATGCTGGAATCATAGGGTTTTAGGCATCCAGACTGAAATTGCTACCAGGGTGACCTGTCAGTAAACATTAAACGTGGTGTCTCTGAGTAATACCTATGAGGACTTCATTCTGTAAAAGGCTGTTAGTTTTCTGCCAGTGTGTTAAGCGGAGAGAGGATCATTTGCCCTGCTCCAGAAGTATTAGCCAGAAAACCATCCTTACAGTATCGCTTCTGGCCTTCCAAATATCAGGTCTCCTCTAATAGTCAGCATTTATTCAAAATCAAGTTAGTCTAACTTTTTGTCCTGTTATCTCATTAAATACCTCCTGACCAAGAAAACTTGGGTAAGCTGAGCTTCAAGGAAGAAAAAGCAACTTCCACCATTTCCTGAATAGCCAAAGTTCCTTATATTGTTTTATTGTTTCTAGCTGGAATCCTAACCTATCTTGGTGAATTTTCCAAACGAGTCAAAAAGAATTTGCAATACTATTTGAGGATTTGCAATTCTGATTGAGTATCCATTTCTCTTTATCAAAGTCTTTTTGTTAGGGGTAAAACCCCAGTTTGTGTGCACTCCACCAAAAATCCCTGAATGTAGTTCAGATCTCCGGGTGCTCATAGCGATCAGAATACTTGATATTGCAGAAGAGTTTAAGGGTCAGCATTTTCTTTCAGATAATTTTTAAGCTGTTCGTGACGGTAGTACCAGTGTACCGGTCAAGGCAGATTGGTGGGTTTGGAGACAGTGGGAAATAGAGGGGGAGGGGAATTCCAAATATGTAAGAAAATGCAGTTATGTGCGGTATTTTGTAGAGTTTTTAAGAAAATTCTTTATCCTGATGTTTTCTGTGTTCAATTTTGATTCATTGTTCCTTTCCACTAGTAAGTTTTAGTTGTCATACCCCAAAATATGTCTTTCAGTCAGAGAAGTACTCCAGGTACATGGCTTTTGAAATTTACCTGCTTGATTTCATCCTGCAACAATACTTTTTGGGTGCTTTGATATGCAGCCTTGGTAGCTGCATAAACCTGTGGTGCCAAATACATTTACAATATTAAGTACTGCCATGATTACATCATTCACAACTGGGTTATCCTTTTTGGCATGTTAAGTTCTAAAATTCTGTTTAATGCTGTGAAAGGAATTTGTTGGGTTTGAATGTCAGAAAATGTCTAGCACTTCTGATATATGTCCCAAGATATATGCCTCTATAGATTCTTTTTTTTAAGGGTTCTGTTTGGCTATGAAACAGCTGATATAGTCTAATCCAAAACTGTGTAGATGCAGTAATGAAAAATTAGAAGGTGCTATAAAAGTGATACAGGTGCACAACAGTTCACTGTAACTCTTTAAGAACATGCAAGATTGATTAATTTTTAGATTTGTATTTGTTCTATCTTCATTATTGACAGCACTTGTAATATTGTTTGTTATTGTATATATTTTTGTCCTCAGAAACTGTATGAGCTGAATAATCTGCATGCTCTTATGGCAGTTGTGTCAGGCCTACAGAGTGCTCCAATCTTCAGGCTGACTAAAACGTGGGCGGTAAGTGAGCAGCAGGACAATGGAGGGGTTTTCATTTATTCTGAGGAAAACACAACATTCTGTAGCTTGTTTTCAAGGATGCAATAATTATTACAGATACTTTTAATCTTCTTGTACCGTGTGCGTAATGTTTCTAGTGCCTTTTAAGACTATGGTTTCCTGTTGAATTATTTTCCATTCTGGCGTAGAAATATTTTCCTTTGAAAAATAGTTCCCTGCAGATTCTGCTAAAAGTAGAGACTTCTAATTTGGCCAGAAGCTATTTTGTATTTGGTTGCTGGAAAACTATGAATGCCAAAGTGGGTCATACTTTAATTGTTTAGGGGTTTATACTGTTGGAATATTTTAATTTTTTTTTTGCTATGGAGAGCAGATGTTCAGAAACTCTTGATTCAGTTTCCATAAAGAGATTTGTAGTTTCTCTGATAACTAAATCTAGCAATTTTCCTCAGAGTTTTCAGAATTATATTCATAGTTATAACAACTGCATTATACAGTATATTTGTAGGTCTGCTTTTGTACAGTTATGGAAGAGTGGCATTCTTTGGAAACACTTTTATTTGACATCTGCTTTTTGACCGGAATTAATACTATTTTTGTGTAGTTGTATCCTTGATCAGAAGAACATTAGGCATGACTTTAGCTCATTGGTACCTCTGAGCTGAGTGTGCTTGATTCAGCCATACATTGTGTAGTTATCCAGCTGTATAAACAGATGAACTCTGAGATTTTTCAAGTGTGATAGAAATAATCAGGTGCCTGAAATACTCCTGTGTGAAGGATCCATATAAATAGACCATTAAAAAGAGCTGAAAAACTTTCACTGAGACATGTCAACACATCCTCACATGTTACAAAAAGTGTTTCTTTGATAACTGAATGATAATGTTGTTCAGTTGATAAATGTTACCAAAAATTAAATATAATTCACTCCTGCCGAGATACTCATCAAGAATTCTGTGCACGTTTTGCAAATGCACAATTAAATAACACGTTGTTTCAAAATTCCAAAAATCTCTCTGAGGAAATCTTAATGAAGTTAACACTTCAAAACGGTCTCGAGGAGAACTGCTGGTTTTGTAGTTTTCTCATGTTGAAGAATTGATGCTTCAGCAGTTTCATATAACTGTGATGCCAGATTGATTTTTGTGTGTTTGCATGACACAAAACAAATGTCAACTATAACCACATAAAAATATATCCATGTTAGTTACTACCATGATTATACCATTCAGAACTGGGAGTCCCCAGTTTCTTTTCCTGCTTGGTCAATCAGAAGTTCTAGTTTGCATGCATGAGGATTGTTTGTGTGCTTTTGGCCTATGTAACAGTTTTTAAAGGTTGCCCCTCTTCCAACCTCTGAAATGCCAGATAACTTCTATGTTTCTGCAGGTGTTTAATTTCTCATACAATCCCAAGTGTATCTATGCTTTTCATCACCTTACATAAGCCTTTGCAAGTTCTATTTGCAGGATAGTTCCTAGCAATGTGCACTGCAAACTGATTGAGATGTCTTTTTCTTGGAAGTTCAGTTTATAAATTGTAATAAAAGTAATAAATTGTATAAATTGTATAAAAGTAATTCTTAGCCTTTGGCTTCCTGTATGTTAAAAGCAAGAAGAGATGTGTCAAAAGGCACACCAAGCCATTATTTGAGTCACCAAGTCATTTGAGTCAGTTACACAGTAACCTGCCAAAACCTTCAAGAAGGAAGGATTTCTTCTCCATTTCTGAGATAGCTTGTAGCAATCCGCAATCAACTTGACTTAGAAAGTCAGGAAAATAGCTGCAAGTATATTCACTCCCTAAAAAAAAAAGTCACTTTATATGATTGGAATCTAGAGTTGAAAGGAGCCATTAAATATTTGCTTGGTAATCTAATGTTCCTAAAAAAGATGGAATTCATGTATTCTGACGGTATGTCTGAATATGTCTGAAATTGTCTCGCTCATTGCCTGCACACCCTCTGAACTCTGGAGAGTAATAAATGCTTCTAATGTGTGATTTGCCCTGTTCAAAACTTTAAAAGAATTATGAACCTTTCCAAGAAAGTACATACAATAGAATATTCTACTTCTCTCTTTTTTTGTGTAAAGGAAGTCTAGATGACTAGCTAAGACAATGTAAGCAAATAATTATTAGACAGCTGAAGTTAGGTGAGTGAATCTTGCCCCACTCTGCCAGCACACTGAAACCTCATCACTCCTTTCTTTCATTTCAAAAAGGTTGTCTTCAGTGTTGGCACACTATAATTGGAAAGCAAGGAGCAGTCTTCCAGGCTCTGAATCCTCCTCTGCTACTGTAAACTATCAGCCTGAGCTTTTGTTGTCTCTGCAGATGTACATCTCTTTACTGTTCTTTGCATCCTTTGAGCCTAAGAGACAAAAGTTACTTAGAAAAAGAAGCAGCTCCAAAACTAAAGAAATAACAACTGGGTCGTTCCTTGCCCTCACAGAAACACTTTTAATATGGTTGGGTTCTCTATACTTTTCTATATTAGTCATACAGGGTCAACTTGTTAAGACGTTATTCAAAGAGCCTGAAATGATATATCAGACTTGAACAAGATTGTGCAAATGAACATGTTTGAGGAAAATACAAGAAATTTGATTCAAGTCTGAATTTAGGCCATTACGGTATCTGTTAGTCTTGTCTTCTAGTCTACAAAACTACAAAAGCTTTTCAGACACGAAATGGCAGCAGAATATGTTAGAATATTATTAAAAGCAAGCTAATCTAGGCTGATGAAATTGGAACCATCTTTGAGGAGATAAACTTCAAAAGATAAATGTCATCTTCCGGTGGTTGGAAAGAAGTCATGCCTGTTTGCTGTTTCCATGTCCTGGAACTGGCAGATGTCTGCAGTTTTAATGAACATGAGATGCTCTTCATCTGAATATTGGAACTAAAGCTAAAGATAGAAATTAATTGCTGGAATGTTAGAGATCAGTGTGTCTTGGGAAGCAATTAACGTTTTTTAAAAGTGACTTTCTTCTTAAAGCCAGTGTTCCATGTGGTGGTGTGCTAGCTACTCTAATGAAGGCTAGGATATAGGAAATGTAAGTAAAAAGAACAGTTGTTTAAATAGTGAATTTACTGCTTTACAGAAGGGACATTTCACTTCTATCATGTTCACGTTGGTTGATCTTTAACTGAGAGAGAAAAAGGAATATGCATAAAAATTTAGCAATGTGACCCTTGTAATTTTTGCACTATTGAGTATCTTAGTACTCAAGTACTAAGTATTGTGACTGGGGCTAGAACACTGAGTCTTCTGCCAGAATGTTCAGCAGTAACATCTTATACCCTTCTTTAAATTCTGGTTCTGAATTAAACTTAAGCCTTTAGTATGATTTTTGCATCAGTAGTTCAGCTAGATGTTTTAAAAATACTTTTAACTTTCTCAGTCTTACAAAGAGAACCTAGCTGCTGTGAATTCTGTCAAAGGAAGGGGCAGGGGGGGAAAGGAGGAGGAACGGAAAATGAAGGAGATCCATGACTTAAATTTGTATTCGAAGTGAACATTCCTGTAACATTAAGAGGCAGTAAAATTGGCAGAACAGTAATACATAACCTGTATTCAAGTCCATAATACCTTCTGTAAAGAAAAATGGATTTAATCCTTGCTCTTTTCCAGACCTTCAAGTGCATGTCTACGTGTATATCTGCATTCATTGCTTTTAAAATTGTAGTTTAGTTTAAGATATTTATCAGATCTTAGTGGTGTTGGTTTACTCTTTGGAAAATTATTTATTGAGATAACCCTCAAATCCAGGATAAGAACATATTTTTTAATTTGAGGTTTTGTGAAGCTGGAGTAGTATAAAATTTCTCAGTGTATCTGGCAAAAGTTAACTCATTTTTTTAAATTATTTAAAAGGATAGTTTAAACTTAGCAGTCAAAATAGCTACTTTTCTTTGTAAACTCTCCAAGCACTCATCCTTAAGAAGTAATGCTGTAATTTTGAAGCAGTTGTATTTAAAAACTCAACCAATAACAACAACAATGGGGGGGAGGGGTGTGGAGGTGGAAGCCCGTGCTTATAAGGGTAAAAGAGAAATCATAATCATCAAACTTCAGCTCATCTGCTTTTGCCTTTTTTTTTTCCCCCCCTAGCTGTTGAGTCGGAAGGATAAAGCCACTTTTGAAAAGTTGGAGTATGTTATGAGTAAAGAAGATAATTACAAAAGGCTTAGAGACTATATCAGCAGCTTGAAGATGACTCCTTGTATTCCCTATTTAGGTAAGTTGAAGTATTTCTAGTGGGAAACACTCATGACAGACATACTTCTCCAGTAATTACACGTACTAAACACCATCTTTTAAGCATTCACGAAACTATTTCAATACTTCAGTAAAGAATCTTTAACCACTAGTTGGTTCTCGATACTCTGTATGTGGCAAGAAATAACTCACTAGCTTTGGAAAGAAAATACCTGTTAAACCTCACAAACACTTCAGGTTTTACATACAGTGTCAGTTTTCTAGGAAATTATTTTTGCATATGTTGTATAGATACACTCATTGACTTCTGGAGAAGTACTTAAACCGTTATGCCTGCTAGCACTCTTAGAGCTAAGTACATGACTGTTATAGTAATGATGGCTTTTAATTTATGAGAGGGTATAAATCACCAACCTCTGAGATAAATAAATGTAGATTTTAGGGTTTGGAACATGCTAAAATCTGGAGATACTGCTGCATTTAATTATTCTAAGGTGACCAGAAACTGGGTTGTTATGACTGACTCCGCTTTATGGAATAATTATGAGTAGATGATATTCCTGTGTATTAAACACATAGATAAATGTGTTTAATATGTATTGGTTTTGTTGCCAAGCTAATCTAGTGTTACTTAATGTCTCAGTTTAGTTTGTTTAAAGTGATCAGTGTGCTTCTTTTTAAATGTAGCTTTTCTTTGATATCATAAGATGTCGGTAGTCACGTAAATTTAAGGAAACATTTATGCGATTTTTTTTCTTTTCCAGAAAAAGTAGTTGATATTTTTGCAGATATGAATTGCTCTTACACCTAAATTCAAAATGACCCCCTATGGTCACTAAGGCTTATTAAAGTGTAATATCTTTGTGCCTGAAGTTTGATACTTCCTTTATTCAGCCAGGTTATTAACTTTTTCAAGATTAAAAACTTCGGTCATCTTTCTGCTGTGATCTACGTGTCCCTCGCAACACTATTTCAGTTGCTTCATAGCTTGATATGAGCAGCAATACCGTCATTGATGTTAGAATCTAGAATGATGCCTCTAAAATGCAGATATTCAAGTTATGCAAAGTTGGTTGAATTTAAATGCTTTATACTTAAATAGAAAAAAATACTTTCCTGTAGAGAAACAATAATAATTTTAGTGTTCTGTAGATTTCCTCATTCTGTCTTTATTTTTTAATTCCCTGTTACATCCCTCCCAGAAACATTCATCAGTTCCAACATGATCTTAATAGCATTTTCAAATATCCAGTTGGTAGTAATTGTGCCTAGAATGTGCCAGCATGAGTGTATTTTGTCTGAAGTAGAGGTGTGGAAATTGCTGGTGTGGCACACCATCACAGGCTCCCCTGTTTGTTGGCATAGCTCTTAAAACTAGGCCTGAATTTAAAAGGGCAACCCCACCCCCAGCATAGTGTAATGTGATTAAACGTCGTTTTGTAGCTTTCCCATCATGTGTACACATATAGTATATATGCACTATATATGATACTGAAATGCGCTTTCTAGCTTTCCAGATGCTTTTTACCTATATGCCGTGATTTTTGAAATGTGAAGTCAAGCTCAAATTGTTTTCTTGCTGATTACAAAAGTCCTAAGCCAACCTGCTGTCACAATTTTTAAAATCTCATGATACTCTGACCTTTGCTGTTACGGTCTTCTGATACTTACTGCTGTGCAGAGAAATCTTTATGCTTTGGTGTATTTCTCTGACACGTTAAAAATACTGCCTTACTACCTGCAAGTGTATATTTTTAAAAAAAAACCCCAACCACCCAAACAGGTGAAATGTTGGAAAACAATGCTTTAAGTTTTGTTCAGGTACGGATGTCGTCCTCGATACATTAGCAACTTCTTGTCTAGTTTTTATATTAGAATAAGCCTTGGGCTTGACTTGATAATTTGTTGAAGTGAAATGTATATTTCTTTTCTACTTAGAACAGAAGAAATGCCCTTTGCTGTGACCCGCTGTAGTTAAAGAATGTGTTGTGACCTGGTTTCGTATGATATCAGTTCTTACTAGTGACATGAAAAATGTCCTCAAGCCTTTTTTAATTCTCCAAAGGAATGGCAAATGCCCACTGGTGCACTCCCTCTAAAATTAATTTTGTAAGGTTTAAATAAGTGGCAAAAAGAACAAAATTGCTTTGAAACTACAGTTGTGATAAATCTGGATCTATCTTGGACGATTGGCTGTTGAGTCCAGTTTTTCTCATTTGATCAAGGGTTTACTCTCCAGTAAGACCTGAGTAGATTTGCAGGAGTATTAGTTCTAAAATTTTCTTCCCAAGGCATTTTAACTAATGTTAAGAGTCATATGGAACAGAAGTTACTAGAGTTGCTTGTTTTACTTACTGTTTTAAGCTTATCAGCTCTAGGTTATAATTCCTGAAAGGATCTTTTTTTGCTGTTTCTTCTGGTATAAAATCGTATACGGGAGTAGTGCTTGCTCCTGAATTAAAATGTCTGGAAAAGTCTACCAAAGTCTGCAGTTTGAAATTGTGATCGTGGCACGTACCGGGGAGGGGGATTAATCGTTAGGTCCGTTTCCTCTCACAGTAAAAGGGGTGTGCTGGGGCTTTCTTCACTGTGGGTGTGGAGATCCTGCAGTTGCTGCACTCCCCTAAAATGCTCTGTGGAAGAGTGCAGAGAATCAAGCCTGCCACACAGTTAGGTTTCCCATTGCAAACCCCCTCCGGAGAAATATTGGCACTGGTCATGAAGGACCACGTTTGGAAGGTCATAGGGAAAGTGAGCATATAAAGGAACTTCAGCTGCGATTTCAAGGCTGAATGTTTTATCCTTCAGAGGTTACTAGGTTTACCCCTATGCAACCAAATACCAGATGTGAGTGTGGAGTTTTTTTCATTACCATCTTAGCGTTATAAGATAAAGCTTAAATTTTATTTTTTTTTGTGTAGTGTTTGCAATGGGAATGGAGCCACAGAAGTATAGATTGTTTCCTGATTACCACAGCTCGCTCACTATCGACAAGATAAAGAAGTCCTTCCATATATAACTGGGGGAAGGGGGAATAAAAGTATTTTTCAGTTCCTTGTAGCAGTAAGTGTGATATGATTCCAGAGTTCTAGAAATGCAAGTGAGAGCAGCAGATCGTCAGTGTGGGCTCACTAACTTAAATGTGAGTGCTAAGGGCCACACATGACCAATAAAAATGTTCAACGTTAGGCTCTCATTATGCAATGTGGGATATGTCATCAGTGTTGCATCACCTGGCCAGCTAATGTAGCCAAAGCAAATCAGAGCTGTGTATGTGATGTTTTATTTCACCTTAGAATAAAAACACGTTCTCAAAGGGAGTTCTGATTAATTTGAGATTGCACAATGAAACAATTGAGCCATATCTTGAGAAGTAAATTTTTATTTAACTAAGCAGTACTACCTTGTGAAATATTTTCGTATAGCTGTCTTTCAGGAATTATATCCAGAAACAGAAAAGCTGAAAACAGGTTATTGAAGTATTCATCTGATGAATATTCAGCTACTTCAGTGATAATGCTTGCAATAGACTTTGGAAATACACGTGAAAACTGTGTTTCAGGTTTAGTACGGGTTAAACTTTTTCAAGGTCTGCTTGGTTAAATTTGGACTGATAGTACAGAAATGGTGAAAGCTATATCCTTCACAGATAAACTGCTTCTGCATGTTTGGTGCAATAGGCTTGAGGGATGCTACAGCCTCTTTTGAAACACTTTCCTAAAAGAAGTGACAGAGAAAACATTGAACTCTGTCATTTACCCTGCTTAGAAAATTCAACCCAAAAGCTAAGACCTGAGCGTTACAAGCATTTGAAAGTAGTAAATTATTGTATAGAGTGTGAACCAACCTGAAAAAGAGATGCTATGCTTTCCCTCCTCATAATCTTAAACTGGCAACTTAAAATTAAGTCGTTCCTTTGAGAGCGCAGCATTTTTTACAGTCTGAGCTTTCTGGGTATATTTTGAAATAATGTTCAGTTAACATCACCCTGCAGCTTTAAATTGGGGAAGATTCACTTTTTAGCTGTCTAATATATAAGATTTAATGTAAAGGCTGAGTACAAGCTAATTTTACTTAGGGGTTTCTGCAAAGTACACCTTTCACTGACCGCAGTGAATGAGCAAACGCTGGTTTTGTAGCAGACAAGAGATTCTTGTGGTAAGATAACATCTCTTCCAAGGACAGGAAATCCATGGCTGAATGAACTAAAGCTTCAGAAGTGTTCATTAAAGGAACATTTTTGAGGGCATTTTCAGCTTTTAAATTTACCTGAACTGTTTTTCTATCCAGCTACCATAGGAAAAAAAAAATAGACTATAGATAGTCTGAATTTTATGTGTTGGCAATTAAAAAGCATTTTCTAGAGCACTCAATGAGGTCTGTATGATATTTGTAACAAATATTCCTTTATATGATGACCAGTTTCAGAATTGTAATCTTGAACGTTTGTGTCAGTTAAAATTCTTGGAATTTGGGAATGGTATATGCTGGGACTGATTTCCCACCTACCCATCCCTGCCAACCGCAATTAGTGTTGAAACTTTTTGGCTTTGCTCTCTGACCAAAGATTTAACTACAACCCTTGCAGCCCTACATTATCAATGAAGCTTTACCTACTCCAGAGAATGTGTTTTGAAAGAATCATGCTATTTTCTCTCCTCTGAATTACAAATGAGGGTTTGCATAGCAATTGATATTGACTAGTTTAACATATCAACTAGTTTAACGTAACGATATTAGATTATTCTTTTAGCTATTAGGATTTCTTATGTTAAATAGGGGCAAAGTGCCTTAAAATTCTGAAGGCACATATGAGTCCCCAAATACATTGATTATAGTTCAGAGCAGCATATCTAGTTTTGTGTAATACCAAATTAAATTAGGTAAGCTGTGTGGCTAAGTACAATTATTAAATAATTTTATATACTAGGAAGAAAGAGTTAGTTTTGGAGACTCCGGTACCGAAAGTGAACATTTTGTAGTTTCCGATTTTGGAAATATCTTGTTTTGATGCGGGAT